GGTATTATATATAGTATTCTAATAATAATCGTAGGAGAGCGCTGGTTTTACTATAGATTATACTATATATAAGCTCTTAAGCCTTAGAAGGTAATCCTAGAAGGTATTTATATAGCTATCCTAGGTTGGTAGTTTCTAGTCTCTAGGACCCGAGGGTTATTATTATTATTATTATTATTCCTTTTAACGTGCTGTGTGAGTCTGAGACTATAGTAGCACGGCTGGGGGTTTCCCTCCAACAGATGAGTAAAGCTGTACTAAATACATGTTTGAGAAGGGGGTTATGGTCATTACAGTTCTTGGGTTGTTGGAAGCAGCTAGGCTTCTGGTTATGACAAAAGAAAAGTTGTTGTGTTGTAGTACGCCCCCTCGTTTCACGCCCTGTACGCTACACTTCCTCGTTCTCGTCTTCCTCGTCCTTAAAGCTGTACTAAATACATGTTTGAGAAGGGGTTTATGGTCATTACAGTTCTTGGGTTGTTGGAAGCAGCTAGGCTTCTGGTTATGACAAAAGAAAAGTTGTTGTGTTGTAGTACGCCCCCTCGTTTCACGCCCTGTACGCTACACTTCCTCGTTCTCGTCTTCCTCGTCCTCGTCTTCCTCGTCCTCATCTTCGTTCTCATCCTCAGTTGCGCGTTGTGTGTGCCATATTCTAGTGGCGATTTTGGTGGTTCGAATAAAGTCAAGTGTGGCCTCGACTCCTTTGGCGGTGTGAAGGAGGGATTTCATGGTGAACTCTCGAATATGATGCTTGAGGAGGTTGCGCTTTAGTACTTTCCTAGCATCCCCAGTTTCTGGACAGCTAAGAAGGAGGTGAGTGGGAGTCTCTTGTCTTCCACATCTACAGCGGTTGTTGGTAGTGTGGCCGAGCTTGTGTAGGTATGATTTGAAGTATCCATGGCCTAGCTTAAGCTGATAAAAGGCGCTGGCTATCTCTCTTTTTGTTCCTTGGGGGACGCAAGGTTTCGACAGAATCTTCCATGGGAATTCCCTTCGATACGAGTGTTGGTTAGTTGATGGTTCTGTGTGCCGGGGGGGTGTAGTAAGCTTTTGACGCCATTCTTTGTTCTGGGTCTGCCTGATCTTGACTCCTAGCATAGCAAAGCTAGTGAGTTGAGTGGATGGTTGGATTGTGGTGGCGGCTTTTGCAAGCTTGTCTGCTTTCTCATTTCCTGGAATGTCGGTGTGACCTGGTACCCAGTGAATTGTGGTAGTAGCTCCCTTGCTAACTGCCTTCCGGGCAGCTGTGATAGCTCTGATTTGGCACTCTTGCCCTGGGTTATCTGATGTGGTTTTTAGCCTCCGTAAACCTGCCTGGTTGTCGGAGTAGATGTGGAAATGGATCCCTGGTCTAGCGTGCTTGGCAGCGTATTCAACTGCTAGCGTGGCCCCTTCAACTTCACCGTTGTAGACGAGCTTGTTTGGTCCAATGTTGACTTTCTTTTCGTAGTGGATTCTGTTTGATTGAGGTGAGATTACAGACAAACCTACCCCAATTCCTTGGCTATTTTCTGTTGTTGTAGAGGATGCATCTGTGTAGATGAAAATGCTGTTATCTGAGTTGTTTTGGAGTAGACGAAGGTGAAGTTTAGTTTCCTCTTCTTTTGAAAGTTTGCTAATGTGAACCTTGTAAGGAGTTTCTCTTTCCCATGGAGGGAAGTGGAAGTGGTGTATTTGCTCAAGGTCTTCAAGGTTGTATAAGTTGCTAATAGAGCGGTGGATTCGCTGTAGTTGAGGAGTTGCCGGCTTCTTTTTCCTTGGAGTTGCTTGAGTATTGAGGAGCTTGTCGATAGCGTGGTTGACTGGGTGTGATGGTGAGAGTTTGAGTAGACGGAAAGCATACATCCTCAAGGAGGAGGAGAGGCGAACTTCAGGAGGTGGGAGGGCGCTTTCTACTTCCATTGGGAGGATAGGAGTGGTTTTGAAAACCCCTAATATCTTTCTAATTGCAAGGTTTTGGAGTTTTTGAAGTAGAGTAGTGAATTGTGCTTGGCCTCGCCACCAGATGGTTGACCCATAGTCTGCGATACTTGTAACGCATGCTGTGTACAGCTGCCGGAGGGCAAAGGGTGTAAGTCCTTTGGAGTTGTTTGCTAGCCTTGACATCCTGAAAAATGCGCCTCTAGCTTTTGCTACCTTGGTAGCGACGTGGTGCTTAAAAGATAATGCTGGGTCAAAGTAGATGCCTAACCACTTAATGCATTGTTTTGGGTGAACGGTTTGGTGGTTGGGGAGGTTGAGTGTGAATTCTTCTGTGTCCTTTGAATTGGTCCAGTGTATGAGTTCTGTTTTATCGAGGTCGAAGGCAATGCTGTTCTCATTTGCTAGCCTGTAGAGTTTCGTGGCTTCTGCTTTTAGTCTTTTAATGTTGTTTTTGAGGTGGCGGGAGGCTGTTGTAAGGGAAATATCGTCGACGTAGGAGATCCATGTAATTGTAGTAGACTTGAAAAGGTCGCGAATGTAGATGAGAAACAGGATTGGAGATACAGGGCTGCCTTGTGGTACCCCAGAGTTGTTAGGTGAGAACTGGACCCGAGGGTTAGTTATTAGGGTTCGACTAATTTATTATTAAATATTAAGAGTAAGGATATTAGAGCTCTTAGAAGATTATTTATAGATATAGGGCTTTCTGATATACTTAGCTAGGTCTCTGTCCTCTTTCCTTTAATATAAACTCTTTCTTCTTCGGTATCTAGTTATTATTAGTACTAGTAGATATCTTAGAGAGCTATATAGAGTTCTATGTTTAATACACCTTCTTAGTAATTTTTATTTACTAAGTAGTAATTTTTATTCCCTAATAGACTTAGCCTACTATCTGCTTCCTAGTTAGAGGGGATATTTATAATTTAATTAAACTTAATATTATAGTGTAACGAATACTCAAACTGGCTAACTAAACTTGGCTGGGTGTTCGCTGGTTGGTATGCTATGATAAGAAGAAGACTATCGGGTTGTTCACTTGGAAGTGAACTCGTTACTTGTATCAAAGATGTCAAACTAATATGATAAGATCGATAACTAAGTTGAGCACGAAGCTCCTATCTAATGGCAGACGTGCCAGTCTTATATAGAACCTTCTTGCTCGTTGATCATTATGATCACCCTGATCCCACTGATCCAGCTCAGCGTTGCTCAGTTGATCACCAATGATCAATGACGGTCACATGACTTCTATCAGATGAAATCCCTGGATCGCTTAGCTAGCCTAAGCATCCCTATTTGCTATAAGAGTGTGTTGCTGGTGCTTAACCTGTCAGGACGCCGCCTGATCTTTGCTTATCACATGCCAACACGTGATTCGTGACATATAGGAGAATAACGTATATATAAGAGGTTTAAATATAGTATTTAATAAGTTCGATAAAGGAGAGAGAAAGAATCTTCTCGGGCTCCGCTATAAAGGAGAAGTAGCCCGCTTAGCAAGGCTTAGTAAGTACTAGTATAGCTAGTACTATACCTAGGGGCTAACCCCTTATAATTACAAAGTATCAATAGACTTAATTAATATTAAAGGAGAAATTAACAGATTTAATTAGTTAAGGACTTTAGATAATTAGTTATTTATACTAAGTCTTTTACTTCTTTTAAAGTAGGCCTAGTATCGCTATAATATCCGAGTAAATATACTCGGTAGTACGGACTATCTAACTAGGCTAGTCCTACCTATATTATAGTAGTACGACTTCTATACCTTTCACTCAGTGTATATTAATAATAGGAATAGTCTAATACTAAGGTTTAGCCTCTTCTTATATTATATCTTATATTTAATAATAAAGTTAAACTAATATATATAAATACCGGTATAAAATAAACCGGCTATCCTCTTATTTTAAACTAAATATGTTAATAAATTATTATATTAAGAGTATATATATTAATAAATTAATACCGGATTATACTTATTAAATACCTCTTTAACTAATAAACATCTATATACTTATTTTAAACCTATACTCGAATATTTAAACTTATATTTAAATAAATCTTAGATATTAGATTAGTATTTATAAAAACTCCCCTTCTATTAATAATAATAAGGGCGTCGTCTTTTCTCTTTTTTATAGGTAATTATTATAATATAATCCTAGTCGAGACTTCTATCTCTACTACCTACCCCCTATCTCGGGTACCTAGGTAGATACCTAGTAGTCTAGAGGCTTCTACTCGGTCAGGGTTATTCTATAAAGACTCTCTACCTACCCTTTAGCTAGCTTCTTACCTTATACTTAGCCTATTCTATACTATATCCTAGTCGTCTTTTAATAAATACCCTACGTAAGAAATCCCTATAAATCTAACAATTACCCTATATACCTACTCCGCCCCCCTTCTCTCTAAAAAAGATAATGATAATAATAACAAGAAACCTCATTCTCAATTTCTCAATTTCTCACTCAAATACTCTACATGGGTATTCTATAGGTCCCTACCTACCTATCTACCTTCACACCTACCTACCTACATACCTACCAACCTAGCTACATCCCTCTCACAAGTTCTCACGAAACTTATACCCTTCTTTCCTTCCATCCATAAGACGCCATATACTGCAACTCCAACTCCGACTCCAACTCCGACACTCCATGATCCCATTGCAAGCCAATCCATCTCTCCCCACTTCTCACCTTCTCTTCCTACTTCTCACCTTCTCTTCTTTTCTTTCCCAGTGTGAAAAACAAACCCAGCAGAATCCCAGAATATAAAACCCGGAAACCCGACTTTTCCCACCCTATGCTGTGAAGGACGATGTTTTCTGTTCTAGAATGAATAACAGAGACAGACACGCGTAAAGGACAGATTCTGACTTCCTCTCCCTTCAAGACTGAGACTGAGAGATGGAGAATGATGAGATATCCCGCCGAAATGGCAACCGAACGGGTAGTAGAAACTCATCAAGTACCCAATGAGAAAAACAAAGAGGTTTTGCTGTGGGAATTTCAAACCCACAATCCGAAAATGTAGAATGATACGTATCAAAACCATAGAAAGACTCCCTAAGTTGCAATTCCATTCGTAGCACCCACCCTCTCTTCATACGCCTCCCAAGCTTTCCTCCGATACCTCTCAGCTTCCTCGACGGGATCCGCAGAGAAGATGATTCCCCGCCCTACAATCACGATATCATTCCCCAACCCAATGATCTTCGCCGGTGTGTTATATTGCTGCCCTTTACCATCCCCCACCACGAGGGCATCCTCATCCTCCTCTTCGGGCGGTAACTGACACCCGGGGGTCATATTAAGAAAATGATCACTCTCCTTCTCATTCAGACTCTCCTGCGCCACGAACCCCATGACATAGTTCGGATGTTCCCTCGCAGCCTCCACACACGCAGCCGTGTACTCCGCATTCATAAAATTCCCCTGACTACTCATCTGCGCCAAAATCAACAAGCCCCTCTCCAACGGCGCCTCCTCAATCCCCTCCAGCGCCTCATCCCCAAACTCCAGACTATAACTCCGCGGCGAATTGACGGGCTCGAAATGCTGCGACACCGTCGTGATGGAGACGATACTTGCTTTCCTCCCCGCCGCCGCCGCCTGTCCCAGTTCCAGCGTCTGGTATTCCGGGATCGGCGTGATGGTCTTATCCTCCTCCTCCTCATTATCCGAATTAATACTCTCCGCCCGTGGCGTTCCAACTGAGATATCAGTCTTCACCTCATACCGCTTCCTCTCCCGCCACCGCACCGCCGCCTCCGCGAGCGCATCCACCGCCGCCTTCCCAGGGACCATATTCACATTCGTGATATGGCTCCACTCGATGATCTTCGCCGTGCCCTCGGTATACTGCAATTGCACCGTATTCCCAATATCGCCGAACTTGCGATCCTCGAAGATGAGGAAGCCGTGGCGACGCGCGAGACGTGCGAGGCGGGCACCCGTTCCCGTTGTGGGGTTGTAGTCCCAATTGGAGATGAGGTCGTAGTGTGTTTTTAGGACGCAGATGCTGGGGCCGAGGGCGTTAGCGAGGGCGAGGAGTTGGTTGGTGGTTGAGACGTCGGCGGAGAGGCAGAGGTTGGTTTTCTTGAGCGTCATGAGGCGGAGGAGGTATGTTGATAGGGGGTGGGGTGTGGTGGTTGCGCGGGTTGAGAAGGGGGTGGTGGTTATAGGATGGGGGGGTCTGGAGGACATGGTGGTGTTTTTGGGAGGGGTAGGTGGTGATTGCGATCGATGAGGACGGTATGAGTAGGAGAGATGTTGTCTTGTTGTTTGTTTCGAGGATGGGAAGCGGGCAATAGGTATAGACGAGGCTCGTTCGGTGGTATTGTACTCGTATGGTACGGAGTACTGTACTTGTACTCGAGTCGGGGACTCGTACGATGGATTGTTTCCTTCTGGGTTGGCTTGGATCTTGGTGCAGTGGTGTGGGTGGTCAATGAGTTTCCTCAACCGGCACGTGGACTTTTTTACCAGTTCACTGACTGCCGCCCGGGCGCCTTCTTGCTCGCTCGCTTCCCTTGTTTTTTTTCAGCCCTGTGAGTCGGTTGTGGTCCTGTTCTGTTTGCACACCTTCTCGGCCCCCCCGAGAGTTTCAAAGGCTTATATTTATATTTATAAATAAAGACGTTCGTTTCGTTCCGTTTCGTTTCGACTCCATAAATTCCATCAGAAACATTTATTTCGAGAGTATAGCGATCGAGAGATATATCGATATGATCTCTCTTATTTCTATATCCTCTATTCCAAGGAAATAAATCGCATCCGTTTTACTCCTTGAAACGAAGGAGGTGCGCGTTCGTGGGGTGATAGGTTGGATATTGCATAGGTAGGTACTGTGATGTATTATTGTATTGCTTTCGTGCAGTGCAGTACATGCATACCGTATCATCCTTTACGGTACCGTTTCCTCAGCCTCCTTTGATTCGTTTGCAACGCTTTGGATGAGCACGTACAGTATTCATTCCACTCTTTGGCCTTTTCTGCAGGACGATCGCACGCCACATCATACAATGAATACTCGAGTGCGAAATCCTCAGATATCTTGGTGCTATCGGTAAACGAATCAGCAGTCACTTATTCGCACATCCAAGGCTTCCATTGCATTCCCATCAGGCAAAATCCATTCATCTCAAATCATCCATCCATCCCCATCCATCACCGCTCGTCCTCACCCTCCCTCCCATCACTCCTTAAGAAACCCCGCATAAACCACTGCACCATCCGCATTGCATGAGAATCATTCCCATCAGATCACATCGCACACAAAATACCCCCATGCACAATCCTCCCCTTTCTGTACGGAGTACCGTTTTCGGAGGCTCCGTTTACCCGTTAATATATTCTTTGCATAAATACGGAGGGCCCAACGAATGGGGTGTGGTGGATGAAGGCGTTTTCCGTGGTGCCCGTTGGGGGCTTGGCTGAGAACAGGAGGGGATGGGACAGGGGGAGATACCATACCGAGGTTGTTTTTTGAAGTGGGGGGTCGTGGGGTACGAGTAGTTTGGGTATGTGGTGGAATATTGGAAGACTGGAATATTGGATGGGGGATGGTGAGGAGGTGAGTACGAGGTTTGGGAAGGGGATTAGGGGGAGGGAGATGGTTTGGTAAGTGCTTCGGAAATTGGGAGGAGGTGTGAATTACGTTCAGGAGAGTTAAGGAAGGGAGAGGGGACTTACAGTAGCTTTTCAAATACTATGCAGGTAAGTAGACTTGTTCACTAGGTGTAATACATCCAGATGGCGGAATTGGATTAAAAATGGATGAAGTCAGAAGATTGAAGGATAGATAATCAGTGAATCACTCTTGAGAGTATGTAAGATTATATAAAATATCTTCACGAAATTTAAGAAAGGAATAGAGGAACGTATCTTCTTGGTCCACACACGTAAACATCCAAACCCGTCCGAACTACCAAACTCCCTCTTCCAAATATACCATCCGACCCCCCTCTCCGACTACTCTCCAACCCCCAAACTCCCAACCAATAAAACCCCCGAACCCCATAAAACTAAACAACCCCTCTTGCCAATTAGAAGAACCTTACAACCTTAACTTGCTAGACCACCCCAAGCGAACGATGTCGATCGGTATTCAGTAGAAACAAACTTTGATTTTGGGCTTTAGATAAGTAGCGAATGAATAGTTGGATTCGTTGCATATCGCAGTATCGGCGAGCTTGAAGAGTATTTTTTAGAGCGCTTATGTTTTGTTACATTACAGTAGGAGTAAGTAGTGAGCTTCTAAGGGGATTTGGGAGCTGGTTAGTTATGCTTGGAGTTATGTATTAGTCCTGGAAAATTGTTCCTGACTAATATTTATAGTTTTTGACTATTTACTTAGATTTTGTTCTATCATATTCTCGACTTCGCGTTCAAAAGGTCTAGTTCTCTATAGTTAACCAAATTACCACGACGAGATTGAACTGCGTTGCGTTGACCTTACATATCTTATTGATGGGGTGTTTGAAAGTCCTTTTCTGCAGGTTCGTGCTCATACTCTATACTATGTAAGGATTCTCGATTCGTAGCGGCTATTTTTGAGAAGTTATTCTGGTTTGTTACATGGTGTAGCGTATATTCTTGATTTTTTTTCAACTCTTGGGATATTAAAGAGTTCTGATTTTATTTCATGGCTGAGGTACACACATGGCACCGTAATAACTCATGCTTGTATAATGGATATCATAGGATTAATCTAAAGCTACTTCATCTCCTCACCAAGAGATGCGTAGATACTCGTGGCGGTTGCTTTATCTACTGTCTCTTTTATTTTCTTTTCCTTTTTCTTCCTTCCTGTAAGCGATCTCCAAAACAATATCCCACCAAACACCATCAACCTTCCTCTTCCACCTCTTTCTCCCTCTAACCACTACCATCTTCAAAACAAGCAATCACCCCAAGAACCACCAAAATCTTAATACTCCACTGCCACATCATTCACTTACAGCAGATCGTATCGCACATCGCAAATCCCATTCTCATCCAAAAGGTAGCTTCCCTCAACCTTTCCTGGGCTCTGTTACATTTCGTAATATAGGCGAACCAGTAAACTACCAATTCGCTCCAGCGGTCACTTCTAGGAGAGGTCGGTAAAAGGGTCGTATTTTGGTGAATATCTTTGTTGGTGATTTGTAGGATTGTGAATTTGTGAGAGTTTGTTTTGTGGCATGTCGAGGGACTGGTCCATCGGCTGTGGTTCTGGTAAACCAGCGAGGTTGATTCGGCCTATGTCGCTGCGACTGTCGATTTCTTTGCATATTAAGACTCGGTTGGTTTGATTTAGTGGTCTTTGGGATCATCTACCAAAGAAGTAGGTTTGATTAGCGAGTGCTCAATACGATAAAGCTGCAAAGCTCTCTCGTGGATTCGGTGAGTGGCCTGGATGAAAGTGTTCTACTCGACACACTCTTAGATTAAGTAATATCCCTCGCTTGAAAATTGATGAGTCTTGTTCCAAGATAAGAGAATGTGTAATTGCTTTTCCTAGAAAAGGGTTCACTATAGCAAAAGGATTATCTTGCTGTACCTTGCCGTGAGATACTGTGAAACCACCTATTATTTGGTCATGTGGATAACATACTACTTATTCCATTCTCCATGGGACTATATATCGAAATGAGTTTCCTGGGAGTTGGTAAGATAGTGGTAAGCCTAGTATATTATGTCTTATTCAATGAGTGTCGATTGAAGATTCTGTAGTAGATACGTATGTTTGTACTAAGGGTGTGATAATATGAGCTTTGAGGTGGAACTTCACCTGTCAAGTAAATGTGAATTATCACATTTCAGGACTTGGTTGAGTACGTAAGGTGAATAATCAGCTAGAGAGAGGGATGTTTTGTCGCATATCGCGCTGTTTAACCGACTGCTTCCCTCGCTTACTACCGAGAGAATAAGATTTTCTTGAGATTTTCTTGAGATTTTCTTGAGATTTTCTTGCGTATCGAAAGTTTTTATACTGGTCTGTAATATCCTGATCTGTTTAGAGCACGGGTTTGATTTACTGACCATTAGGGATTTTTGTTGCACATCGCGCTGTTTATTCGACTATTCTCCTCGCTTACTACTAAGATTATAAGTCTAGCTTGAGGTTTTGTTAGACATCACACTTTTTCGGGTCTTCTTTTGTATCAGTCTACGATCTCCTGGTCGTTTAAATGAGTTATCTGGGTTACTAGCAAAGTATCGTTATAACTCGCACTTTTAACTACAATGACTGCGCTCTTGAAACCTCTGCTGGAATCCGGGGAACATATACATGGCTTCATTGCAAATCGCAATTCTTAGCCTAGTCTACAATCTCTTGGTTTTATTGTAGCAGGTTCTTGATCTCCTAGTCTCTCCCAGAACTTTGTCGAATGTCGAGAGTCTGACCAATCACTTCCCTTTCTGCCTCCAGAATCTCGAGCTTTGTTACATATCACAATTCTCCGTATCGGTAAGCAATCTCCTGGTCGATGCCCAGCTTGTCTGTATCCTCCCAGTCCTGTAAAGAGCCCTTGTTGTAGCTACAAGAATGGAAAATAAGTTGGTCAAATCACCTGACCTAGGCACCTGACTGGATACGCGATTTTCTGTAAATCATGATTGGCTAGATCCCTCAACGTGCAGGATTTGTTGCATATCGCACTTTTCGACCGACCGATTTCCCTCGGAAGTGTTTACAAACTGTTTACATATCGCGCCTTTGATGTCCGTCTAGTCCTCAAAGGGGCCTCGGTTACTAGGATCGAGAAAGAAGTCATTCTCGAATTCACCTAATTCGGAAGACACTTGGTCTGGATTAATTGCGTTTTGATTGGCTAAATTATAGAGTTCGTTTTCGTTGCAAATCGCAGTTTTGACCGATCGGTTGCCAGCTCGCTTACAGTACGAGGGTTTTGCTACATTCCTTCGTACAATCTTGGTCTGCATCCTCGGGTCCTCGGAAGACCTTATTACAAAGGTTGGGAAATAAGTATCATTGCCTAATTCACCCAGCTAATCAAGCGCTGTACTTTCTGATTGGATAGTTCATAATAACCAGATCTTTGTTGCACATCGCACTTTTTCAACCGACTGCTTTCAGGCTCGCTTACGAGGTGATTGGCTGATTTCGTTGTATACAGTCCTGGCCTGTATCCTCCTGTTCTTCAAAAGTACCCTGGATGCCAGACTAGACGAGTAATGCTCTGTATAATTTCATTAGCCAGTCAATAATAGCTTGGTTTGACTGATCAAGTTTCTAGTTCGCATCCGCTGTTGATTATGAATTGGAAGACCGCAAGATTTAATCGCGCATCGCGCTTTCCGTGTCGGTCTACACTCTTATATCTTTTTCTCTTGTTTACAAGGCGTAGGAACAGACTTGATCTGGGTTAAGAGATGTTCTATAAATCCGTTCTGATTAGCTAGCTTTCATAGCCCTCAAGTTCTGTTGCACATCGCCCTCTTTAACGGATCGGTTTTGCGATTCGCTTACCCAGAAAAGAATTGCTACGGAGTAGGTTTTCCCTTATTATAGTCTCGTAATCACCAGGAGCAAATATGTCGCTACTCCTTGGATAATCTACGTACTTTGGTTGGTTGAATAATAAGGAGCTACATTTGTTGTACATCGCACTCCTCAACCGACCAGTTACTAGCTCGTTTAACAAAGGATTTACTAGAATCCGCCTTATTTCTTCCTCTAATTCAACAACAGAAGGTACAGACTTGATCCGGACTTAGTAGGCGTCGACATTTTTGATTGGCTATCTTACAAAGAGTCAAGTTTCGTTGCATATCGCACAACCAACTGATCGGTCTCCTGGCCAGCATACTTCCTTTAGCGAGACAATAAATCTTTGGGTTAGGATCGCGGTAATGCGTTATATTTCGTGATCTTTCATGTTTGGTCTAGAGGCTCCTGTTTGAATTGCTTGTTATAGTTCCTAGTGATGTTAATATAGCATTTATCTACGTTTATATTACGCAGGGTTGCTTGACCTAGATCAGGTAAAATTTATGACTACGGCCAGAGGCGGGTTGACTGATTCGTATGTTCATGAGTTTATATCGCATATCTCACTTTTTGTATTAGTCTGTAAACTCCTGGCTTACATCTTCTGAGTGCGTATTCTCATATCCCTAGTTTCTCTCCTTACATATCCAATCTGCCAAATTTAAGAACCCGATATGATTCCCCTTTTTACCAGAAGCGGGGACAGACTCGGTCCATACCAAGCCATTCTCAACGTAATTTGATAGGCTAATTATAAAGCGCCAAGGTCTGTTGCACATCGCAGAACCAAACAATCGGTTTCCTGATCCTCATAGATCTTCTAAATAAGATATTATATCGTGGGATGTCTTAGGGCTTATCGGAGCGTAATTGGCGACGCTGAAATTTGTGGGGTTTTGTTGCACGTCGCACTTGAGTTGAGTAGTACTCGCTACTCAAGTACTACTCAACTCATGGCTACTCATGGCTATTCATATAATACTTAAGTAGTTAAGTAGTCACTCATTGGTTAGCATAGAACGTCAAATCATCGGGCTTGTAAATGCCATCTCGAATCCAGTTACTCTCTCCTTACTACTTCCCTTAAATACAGTAACTGCCATTTTGAGCGGTGTATCTTGATGTTAACAAAAATATATGTTTGAAGGGTTGTTATTCTGTTTACCTACATATCATACCTAGAATGATCGGGCTCTTTGATTCTTTTGGATGTTGGACTCCTTGAGCGATGGCCATTTTGAAACTTCACAAAAGTCTGTTGCATAGCACTATTCTGAGTTATCCAGATATCCACGATTCAGACTGCGCTTCAAAACCTGTTTTTATCGCCAGTCACCAGGAAGCTACTCGCGCTACCTAACCTATTATTCCTATAAGCACAAATATCTTCAATTCTCCTCCGAATAATCGCTCGTAAAACGCTTGAAAGTGTATCAAACCGTTCTTATTCTAAATAAGCAATCAAGCACTTCCCAGCAAACGCCACCCCTACTCTCGAGAGCCAATCAAACAGAAAATAACCACCACAGCTCAGCGAGTATCCACCCAAGTATCGATATAAACCCCGAAACCATCACCTTTCTAATCCTCGTTACATAATATCTCGGGTAACAGGCAGCACGGATTTATAATAACTGCTTTCTGACAGGACGAATATGACAAAGATCATCTAGCGCGACACTTCATCCAGCGCGACACTTGGGCAGTAACGAACTAGCAAGCGAGTAATCCTCGAGTAAAAACCCCGTCTAAGATGTCGGATCACACCCTATCGATAAAATTCGGTGATATCTACCTAACCCCGATGAAGATTTCCAACCTCGCTTAGCCACGCGACCCCTTCTATCACTTAACTCCATAACTCCATAGCCTCAAATTACTAATTGGGTTACAAGCGTGAGGTATCAGGGGATATAGTGAGATATTTTGGTCATGGGAAGCTGTTCGACACGATGCTTCTTTTGGTTGGGAAATGTCCGAATGGTGGACTTATCGGGGTGTTTCTTGGTGTGACGGTGCGTTTGCGAGCACATGATGAAGGAGAAGATGGGTGAGGATAGGGTATATATATGCGGCTTGGGAAGAGTGAATGAGAGGGCAAGGAATGAGGAAGTGAAAAGCTTTCTCATTTCAGGATTTTGAGATTGCAAAATTTGGACACTCAACAACTCATCCCCAATCCACAAGCACAAGTCCACATCCTCACCCACAACAACCCCAAAAATCCATCATCATGGCCACCACTCTCCCCCCAACCCACAAAGCCCTCCTCCTAACCTCAACCACCACACCCCCCACCATCACAACCCTTCCCACCCCCACCGCCATCCCAGGAAGCGCCCTAATCCGCATCCACGCCGTAAACCTCATCTCCTNCTCAACCACCACACCCCCCAGCAGCACAACCCTTCCCACCCCCACCGCCATCCCAGGAAGCGCCCTAATCCGCATCCACGCCGTAAACCTCATCTCCTACATGCCAGCAATCTACTCCGGCCGCCGTCCCTACCCACTCTCCCTCCCCCTCATCATCGGCACCTCAGCGATCGGCCGCATCGCCGCTCTCGGCGCGGACTCCACCTTCCTCCAGCCGGGCCAACTGGTATTCATCGACTCCTTCATCCACTCGCGTGATAACCCCGAGGACGCGATGCTGCTAGGTATTTCCTCAGGGTTCGATGATGCGGCGAAGAAATTGATGGATGGGGAGTGGAGGGATGCGACGTTTGCGGAGTTTGCGAAGGTGCCGTTGGAGAATGTGCATGTGCTTGATGAGGCGCGGTTGCTTGGGTCGAAGGAGGAGGGGGGATTGGGGTATAGGGTTGAGGAGTTGAGTTATATCTCGCGGCTTGCGGTGGGGTATGGGGGGTTGAATAGTATTTCTGTGAGAGCGGGGGAGACGGTTATTGTTGCGCCTGCAACGGGACCCTTTGGGAGTGCGTCTGTGAAGGTTGCGCATGCTCTAGGTGCCAGGGTTCTGGCAATGGGTCGAAATATGAGTGTTTTGGAGAAACTGAAGGAGGAAAATGAGAGGGTGGAGATTGTACCTCTGACCAATGATCCTGAGGTTGACTTAGCTGCGTTGCAGAAACTCGGGAAGATAGATGCGTATTTTGATATTTCGCCACCGGAAGCGGGGGAGAGTACACATTATAGAACCTGTATCTTGGCTTTGAGGCGAGGTGGGAGAGTTAGTCTTATGGGTGGATTGGGGCTCAGGTGCCGATTCCTATGGGTTTTATTGTGAGGAAGGATATTCGGTTGGTTGGGAAGTGGATGTATGATAGAGGAGATATTGAGCAGTTGATTGGGATGATTGAGATGGGCTTACTGGGGTTACAGGGAGATGTCAAGACGTTCAAGTTAGAGGATTGGGAGGAGGCTTTTGAAACTGCAGAGAGAGAAGGAGCCGCTGGGAGGAGTGTAATTGTTCCGTAAAGTGTTTATCAGACCTGGAATTAGTAGAAGCCTCTAAATACTAGAAAAATAAATAGCACTTTTCTCCTTTTCAATACCTCCAAAAATCAAGGCAATAGCTCTACAATGAGAAACTTAACCAATATATCCCTCTAACCATGTAAGACCAACTCATCATCCACGTCCTCAAATCACTCAACTAAAAACTGCTAACATCATAACTCACCATCTCAATCATTCACAACCCTCACTCCCACCCCCCAGAACAAAACCCCAGAACAAAATATCAATACCCATTCCAAGCATTCAGCGCCCCTTCCACGCTCCCACGTAACATGCAACAGAATCCGCGCCGTACAAGAAAACCTCAGGACAGAAAATGTAACCCAGCTACACATCAGTACAGTAAATGACCAGGTATCTTACAGTTCTATACGTGAAACCCAAGATTAAAGAGTACATTATATGCCACCAGGAAATTTGAACATCCCATATGCCCCTATATTCCATCTATACAGAGGAAGTAGTACTATGGTATCCGAATCAAATACTCTCCAGGAGAATCCAAAAAGATACATTATGTATCCAAAGGACCCAACACTACCTATCAAAACAGGAACGTAAGAAAATCCCACAAAAAAAGCACACAGTATCATATCCCAAAACACTCCCACCTACCCACGCATCAACACCACCTACAAACAAACCGCACATCACAACCTTTTTCGTAGATTGAAAATTTTGTTCTAAAACGCTCAATCTCTCTTACGCTCGTTTGACAAGCTAAAATTCCCTCCATGGAGACTCCTCCAGGGAAGCCTCCGATTTCGCCCACGCCCGTTGGAAGGGGCCTGAAAAAGGGGGGAGTACGCCCGATGCCCCCACTACCCAATATACAGCAGCACTTCGTTTCTGGAACCACCAAAGCTCTAGAACGTGGTGCTATAGGCCAAATCTTCTTTGGAGGTACCGCGGAAGCCGTTGACCACCACCTAAACACTGCTCTTGATAGGGCTCCCCCGGAACTCTTGCCCTACCTCAGGGCCTTTTGCACTCAGGTGGCCGACCTTAGCTTAGCTTTCCACCGAACATACACCTCAGGGACCCCGCCTCCACTACCGTCCGCTCTTGGAGCCTCCCAAAGGGGCAGAGATGGCCCTATGTCTCCTACGATCTCAACCCCCTCTCTGGCTCCTGTGGAAAA